CACCTGGTCATAGAAGGAGATCAGGTTGGTCAAGCAGGACCTGCCTCTCATGAACCCGTGCTGGCTGGGCTTGATCCCCTGGTTGTCCCGCTCATGCCTTGTGAGCACCCTCAAGAAGAACCGCTCCATAATCTTCCCTGGCACCGAGGTCAGGCTGACAGGCCTGTAGTTCCCCAGATCCTCCTTCCAGCCCTTCTTGTAGATGGGCGTCACATTGGCAAGCCTCCAGTCGTCCGGGACCTCCCCCATTAACCAGGACTGCTGATAAATGATGGAGAGTGGCTTGGCAAGCACCTCCGCCAGCTCGCTCAGCACTCTCGGGTGGATCCCATCCGAGGGTGTTCGGAAGATGTACGACTGTGGCTGGCATGGGATTCACGATGGTGAGGCTCTACACAGCTCAGCTCATGGCCCTCTGAGCAAGTCACTTCACCCCTCTGTACTCCAGGCTCCCCTCTGTAAAATAATAATGATAGCTTTTGTAAGGCATTTTGAAACCTACTGATGAAAATTGCCATATAAAAAATAGGTATGTGATTTGGATTTATATAAAATACTATCCTAAACAGAGACAGACTTCAGCTCATGTTTAGTGCTTTTATTAAATTCCAGCAGATAGAGAGAAAGACACTCTCTGGTGAAAACCTCTTCTTTTTCCCCTTCTCATGAAAACACGTGGTGAACTCAATGAAAACCACAATGAGCAATGTTGAAATCAAACCCCTTCCTTGTAAAAATAATACTATGGTAGCATTCCACAAAAAAATGATATAAACTAAAGTGACATAAAGTAAAATAAAGGACATAAAGTAAAAATGACATAAAGACATGTTTGCTTCTTTAGCATTCCTACAACAGAGCATATGAAGTATCTTACCTTTTTTCCTAGACACTGTCCCTTCCTGGATAGTGATATTTGTTCTGCCAATACACAGTGCTTTGAACCCCATTCTCTATACTCTCACAACTAGTTTCTTTAAGGAGAAGTTGAAGCAGTCACTGGACAGTCATTGAAGGAGGGCAATTTTCAAAAATTATGAAAAAACTTTGGCCACTTCAGTCATGTGGACAGATGATCCTCTCATCCATAGCTCTTCTTTTATGCTTGGATTTTTGAAAAAATAACTCCTGAGGACAGTACTAACTTTTAATTACCAATCTACAAGTGGTTGTTTCCTAGCAGGATAACAGAAACAGGACCTAACTGCCTCACAGCTGCATTAATCTCTTTGAGATTCATATGTAGGCTCTTTTTGGCCATTACCATCTCTGTATTCATCTTCCTGGAAAATAAAATCACAACTGTTGCATTCATCAGGGGAGATTTGTATTGCAGATTGAAACACAGGCAGACCATGCACTGGGGCTAAAAACAGCAATACTTTTCTACTATTCACCCCCCTTCCCCAGAGAGTCAGTGTATCTGTACTTGCTAGCTATAGTCTTCATATAATACATATAGATTACGGGAAAGGACTTTTGCCTCATTTGGTCTGTATTACCAATTTCAGGATATACCCTTGTGGAGAGGTGTTTCTCCCAGGGTTGGAAGTCTGTGGTGGGAGAAGGCCAGAACATTCTATGCAATGTGTAAATCTATATTAATCTTGTAAGATTTAAGTAATATGTGAGCTCTGCAGAGTGGTGAATGTCTCTTTGTGCACATAAAGTCACTACTCAGAACTGCAAGACCCGAGCAGTGTTATTACAATATTTTTAAGGTACTAAAAGTCAAGTGAAACTTCCTGTGTAAGCAACAGAGCCCAGACTGAAACAAAAATTAAATAATGAAGCTCTCAGAACGACCCTTGAAAGCAGTCAATTCAGTTTTCATTGCATCAGGTTTTATGAAGCATCGGCATCCGGACAGCATGGGTAAGCACATGCTTGAGGGAGCATTTATGGGACTGAGGCACTTGCAAGGTAGAACAATTCCCCGTTATTAGTTATGTTTTCATAACCACCTTAGATATATTTTGACTTTATTGCATATGAGCTGCCTACCTGTTATAAATAGAAGAATCAAGCTCTTAGAAAAAGAGTAAAGCAAAACTTTCAGCAGACTTTCACCTTTTTTTTTTTTAAGATTTACTAAAGAAAGCTCCAGAAAATGTTTTAGAAGCTCCGGTTCATAGATCATTCTGAAGTGTTATCAAACACAAGGAGTTTGGAGCAATGAGGAAGATCCAGAAAGGGAGGAAAAAACCCAACTGTATGGGCACATCACTGAAAATAGAGGAGCCTGAAGAGTTAACATTTCTCAGCTGAGATGACGAGACTGAGTATGTGCTTCGGGCCCACCCAGACTGTGAAATATGATGGATATATTTGAACCACCACGAAGGCAGGAAGTCAAGTCCAATAATAAGGTCATTGTACTGTGGCAATGAGCCCAACTGTGAGGTTTTGACCCAAGTATTCACACAGCACACACTTCAGTGTGGGATTCTGTCTGAAGAAATCTAAATTTCCATTTAGGTATCAGAAGATCCTCTCAGTTAGTGACCCAGTTGACCTACTTTCCAGTACTGACCATCCCCCTTGGTGCCTTAATTTGATAGACACTGTCCTGCTTGGTCTGAACAGTCCCTGGAGTCTCCTGGGTTCAGCATGTGCCTGGTGATGGCAGAGTAGGAGTCCAGGGGCAGAGGAGCTATAGCAGTTTGCTGGTTCGTACTGGTGGTTTCTCTGCTCGTAGCTGTGGAGGTGAAGTAGGTTCTGGCTGCTGTAGGTGCTATAGGAAGTACCTCTCCTCAGACAGAGCAGCACTTTTGATACACCCATGCTATTACGATGGATGGGGATGCCAGGGAAGGAGCAAAGCAGCCTGGTACCGCAGAAGGGGTGGTCGCATGCGGGGGCAGAAGTCAGAGGGCAGCACCCCAGCGAGGCTGCTCTGCCACCTAAAATACGTGTTGCCTCTGCAAACAGAGGTGCTGCCAGCTACCCATCGTCCAGATTTCATGTGGCTGCCCTGGAGAGCCCTGGAGAAGAAATTTCCTCCCCTGCACCCCCTCCTGACATACCAGCTGCTGCACCTCTGCAGCAACCCATGTGCATTGCACTGGCTAAATAGTGGGGATGGGAAGGGAAATTGGTCTTGAATACACCTCTCTGGGCACTTCCCTGGGATAATGTAGACACTACTTGTCATTTTTTCCTCTCCTTGACAAAATCTTCACTTAAAGTGGTTCTTTCTCTTGAACTTTGGGATAAAGCAGAACTTGATCTTTATATAGCTTTGCTCTCCACACAAATTTGATTTAAAGAGACAGAAGGATACTTTTCCACATCCATGGGTAATCTGTTCCAACAGATTATTATTTAAAGTATGTCGTTTATTAAAATACACAAATTAATTAAAATTTGTGTTTTCTGGGTTTCCACTTGCAGTAACTGAATTGCCTATGAATATGAAAGAAGAAAGCTTTTTCTGACTAAAATGTCTCAAAAGTCTGATTCTCACTGTTAATACTTAAAAGCTATTTGCTTTTTGCAACACTACTACTCTTTTTTCTATAAATTGTAAACCTTGATGGCCCTGCTCTCCTCTGATAAGATGTAAAAAATGAAAGACAAATTGTCAAAAAGCAAAAAAGGAGGAATTCTACACGGAATCAGAGATTACAGAATCACAGAACCACAGAAAAGTTGAGGTTGGAAGGCACCTCTGGAGATCACCTAGTCCAACATCCAAGCTCAAAGGTGGATCAGCTAGAGCAGGTCTTCCAGGATCATGTCCATCTTGGTTTTGAATATCTCCCAAGGATGCAGACTCCACAACATCTCTGGGTTGCCTCTTCCAGTGTTTGTTCACTGTACAATTAAGAACTTTTTTTCTCACATTTCAACAATATTTCCTGTATTTAAATTTGTGCCCATGGTCTTCTGTCCTGTCATCAGGCACCACAGAGAAAAGTCTGGCTCTGTCTTTACTCCCCCCCATCAGATATTTACACATGCTGGTAAGATCTTCCCTGAGAATTCACTTCTCCAGGCTGAACAGTGCCAGCTCTCTCAGCCTCCCCTTGTATGTCAGATGCTCCAGTCCCTGAATCATCTTCACGGACATCTTCCTTGGACACAGTTCAGTATGTACATGTCTCTCCTGTGCTGAGGAGCCCAGACGTGGACCCAGCACTCCAGATGTGTCTCACCAGGGCTGAGAAGTGAGAAATTATCACCTCCTTTGACCTGCTGGAAACACTCTTCCTAATGCAGCCCAGGAGGCTTCGGTCGTTTTTACTACAAATGCACGTTGCTGGCTCATGATCCGCTTGTTCTCCACCAGCACCCCTAAGTCCTTCTCTTCAGAGCTGCCTTCCAGCTGGTGGGTCCCCAGTATGTACTGGTGCATGGGGTGATGCCTCCCCACAGGCAGGGCTTGGCTTTTCCCTTTGTTGAACCTTGTGAAATCCCTGTCAGCCCATTTCTCCAGCCTGTTGAGGTCCCTCTAAATGGCAGCACAACCAGCTGGTGCATCAACCCCTCCTCCCTGTTTTGTATCCTCTGCAAACTCTGTCCCATTGTCCAGATCATTAATGAAGACGTTAAACAGCGTTGGCCCCGGTATGGACCCCTGAAGTACTTCACTAGTGACTGGCCTCCAGCTGGACTGTGTGCCTCTCAGCCTGGCAGCTCAGTTTTCAATCTACCTTACTGTCCATTTATCTAGTTCATATTTCATCAGTTTGTCTATGGGACGTTATGGGAGAGAGTGTGAAAAGACTTACTAAAGTTGAGATAAACAGCATCCACTGCTCTCCCTTCATCCACCAAGGCAGTCATCTCATTGTAGAAGGCTATCAGGTTGGTCAAGTATGACTTCCCTTTCATACAAACATGCTGACTGCTCCCAGTCATCTATTTGTCCTTCATATATGTTTGGAAATGGTTTCCAGGATTATTTGCTCCATCACCTTCCCAGGGATCAAGGTGAAGCTGACTGACCTGTGGTTCCCTGGATCCTCTTTCTTGACCTTTCTGAATACAGGATTGACATTTTCTTTCCTCCAGTCCTCAGGAACATCCCCTCATACGACCTTACACAGTTTCTTAGCATATAAAATATTGGGGGGGAGGTGTTTAAAAAGATTTGTGGGATTTTTTTCCCCCTCTTTGGACTGTAATTCTTTATAAACATTTCCAATGGCTATTTGCCTAGTTTTTAATTAAAAAAAAAAAGAATAAGATCAGAACAAACAGCTGTGCCTGAACAAATATTGCTCATATAATCGCCCACCATGAAGAACTGAAAGGAGACTTGCCTTTGTACTGCGTTAAACATTCTTACTCTGTTGTTACTGGGATCTGTTTAACAAGCAAATAGGAAAAACCTAACAGTTGGTTTTACAACATAATTTTTTGACAGAACGCAGCAATGAATAAAATAATTTCTTGTCCCTCACAGCTAGTAAGGGACTAGAAATTACTAGTGACAACGACAAATGAAACACAGGAGCAGGACCTGAAGGCGAACAGTGCAAATCCCAAGTGCAGTTCAATTGCCTGCAATGCAGGGAAGTTTTTTAAGGTTATTATGAGCCTGATGGCAGCAGAGAACATTCCCCTGTTCCTTTTATCAGAGAATGACTGGTCCACAAACACTTCAGCCTTGGAAACCCTAACAGGAGATACTCAACTCAGAGCTAGATCTTTTAAATGGTAATCTTTTACGTTATCTCCCTACTCCAAAGAAAAGATAAAATGGATCAGACAGGACTGGCTGCAGTGATACTAAACTATGTCCAGAGGATGATGTATTTTAAAATAGGGATTTTAAAACTCTTGCAGAAACCCATTTTATTCAGCATTTTCAATGTTTAGTGTTTTACAATAAGTATGTGCCCTTAGGATATTTCTAAAATACTATACATTATTCATTGTTTGTCCAGGATAAAAACAGTTTTCCTGCTCTGCACAAAGGTTGTTCAGGAGGCACACTGTAATATCTACAAAGGTCCCCTCAGGACAACACATGAATAATGGAGCAGAAAGTAAAGTTAGTCACCTTCCTGTCTGCATAAAATCTATAAAAAGTACTTCAGTATGATAGATGATGGTGATGGTGGACTGAATGTTGAACTACGTCTCTGCATTCAAGCACACTGACGGCTTAAATAAAT